AAAGGTGATGATATTATTTGTACGTAGGCCAGGTATAATTTTGTATGTTATGTATAGATACAAATTTGTATCTTTGGATAAGGACACATCTAAGCTCGAAACCGTCCTTTCCCATTTAGAGTGTATCTGTAACCAGGGCTTACATAGGCGCAGAAATGCGTTTGGGTAATGTTCGACGAGTATTGCCTCTCATTCAATGGATCAGGTTGTCAGGGATGCGGGCCTACAGCCTGCAGGTCAGGTCTCATTGTTTTTCTTGTACTTTGCAAACTCGTTGCGTAAATATACATCGGAATGCAACACCTGACTGTTGCAAATGTAACCGGGTCGTGCTAATCTCGAAGCCGATCCGCTCCGCGCCATAAAAAAACGAAAAAGTCGCGGATGTGCGAATTGTCGAGGACTGTAGTAAAATAGCCGCGATAGCGTCGGTTGCCTTTATAATCCGTGGTTGTGGTAGCGCTCGCTGTCCCGCGGCCCTTCCTTGAGTGTCTTATCTAAGCACGCTACCTTTCTTTACGTCAGGGGATTTTGTCGTCGAGCCTCGGATCAAAGGTGTGGAATTTGCACGTCGCGCGGGCTTTGCGATTTTATTTACCCGTTCAGCCCCTGCGGGGCGGAGCTGTGCGATGCGACCCGGGGGCAGGGCTGGACGTCCCGCAAGCGAGGACCCCTGGACCTGGAACTGGAGGCCGCTATGCACTCCTTGCAGACGAGGAGACCCCCGGACCCAGGAGGGAAAGGAAAAGGAGTTCAGGAGAGCGGGTCCCCGGGTCCCCCCGCTCACCCTGACACGACCCTGTACTATTATACCTTTTTTGTCGCAAGTCTGCCGCGCTGCGGGTACACTGTGAGACAGACGTCCTCGAATAAATTAGTGCTTTGCGAAGCGAGCGCAAAAGGGCATAAAGCGAGCTGTGTCGCCTGGCCCCTCACCACCCCATGCTGCTCAGCGCCTGGAGTCCAGCGCCATATGATGTTGTTTCATCAGGCCGGGGTCGACTGCGGGGTGACTTCCGACTTCCGGCCCCGCGCCCCGCCATTCACCGGGGCGCGCAGCTTCCATTCGCGGAGCGGGGGTCGGCCGCGCAGGTCAGGCTGAAACGGCCGGTCGGGCCAGTGGGTCGGGTCAAACCAAAATCGCGACCTGGTCATGTTGTTGTTTGGTGTGCTCCCCGGCAGAATGAAATTAGCGGAGCGACTGCGTGACCCTAGAAACGGGTGGTTCTAGTTCGCAATTAACATAGCAGTCTTTAATAACCCTTGTTGAAGTTATTGAAGAGGGGTGTTATTGTCCACCTCCGATTTGACTAAACTTTTTGTTTCGCTTGTTCCTATATGATAGTCGCTCGCCCCTGTCGGAACCAACAACCGACTAGAAACGGGAAACTATTTGCAGAGGAATACCCGGTGAATGGTGGGGCGGGGCCGGAAGTCGGAAAGTCACCCTGCAGCCGGCCCTGGCCTGATGCTCCAGGTGAGCCGCAGGAGGATCGGGACAGTGGATGGGAGCTTCAATTCAATGCTGCTCTCCGCCTGGCGGCGCCGGGCAGGCGCCACAGGACACGGCGAGCACAGTACTCTAAAGTGCCAATAAAAGGGGGTTACATTTGATGAAGTACAGTACCGAGTGAGTGGCTGATTAGCCCCGTCCACATTCGCTGATACGATACTGCACACGCTTGAGGGCGTTCTGGTCTTGCCATGTCGATCGTCTCTGACCGAAACGTCTTGCGGCTTGTGGCTCCGCCGAGGAGGCAACCCGCACGCTCGCGACTTATGCGGCGTTTTGATGGGAGGTCGGAGTCGGAGGTTGGTTAGAAACTACGACCGTTTTGATCCAAACTCGTTCGCCAAATGACATGGAGCTCGGCGCCTGCGATGCTCGGGGTAGGCCACCCCGCAGTACTCGTATGCAGTGCAGGCGAGATGTTGCCTACCCATCAGGCGCTATAAGAGGCTGGGCGTGGCAGGTGCGTATGCCGGACGGATGTACTTTCTGGTGGATAAACCCCGAGCCCCGGAAGTGGGCGGGACGAATCATCCACGATGTGGTCACCCACGATGTCGACTTTCGTGGTCTGGATGTTGTGGAGCTGGGCTACCCGACGCCGCCCTCCCGCCCCGCCACGATGCACCGCAACTTGCGGTGCCGCGAGTTAACACATTTGTCGTGAATCAGAGCCTTCCCTCTGCCTCACCCCACGTGGGCCAGGAGGGGGGGGAGGGACCCCGGCTCCTGCGCGCCTCCCGCTGTGACTCAGCCGGGGGCCGGGCCGGGCGCGCCCCCTGGCCTGGAAGCATATATGACGCCGCGGGACGAGAGGGGGTGACGTCACCGCACGGCACGGCATATAGTACTCGCGGGCCAGCCACGCCGATCGGGAGGAACGCGGAACGGAGCGGGCCGGACTCCGACCGAACCGAACCGAACCGGACCATGGCGCGGTGGGGGGAAGAGGATGAGATGGGCGCCTGATAAGTTTCGGCAAATAGAGTACCCCGTCACGTGACCGCGCGTGTCCTTGTCCTATGGGGCCGGGCCGAGGGCCGGGCGGGGCGCCCTATCAACTGGACAGCCTGGCCGGCCGGCTCGCCCTATCGCTGCCGCAGATTGGGCTGTACTCCCGGCACTCGCGAGCGGCGTAACGTTATACGTGTACACTTGCGATTACACAGGGGGACCACGGGCTGTGTGTGCTCGTGGGACATTACGGATAGATAAATGTTCGAAACTAGCGCTCTGACTGCGAGTGTATTTAACTGTTTGGCACACGCGCAGAGGAGTGTAAGGTTTCTCAAGTTTTGGTTTTAATTAAAGTGAAAACATTTCCGAGGTTGGTATCGGAGCAAGGGGGAGACGTGGCGAGTGCACGAGGGTGTGGTGCCGGTAGATAGGAGCTGGCTGACGTGCAGGGTGCGGCAGGAAGGAAAGGGGTCGCCGCCCACCCCGGCGGCCCCGCCCCCGCGGCAGGTACAACGCCAGGAGGGGGGAGGTGAGGAGGCGAGGGACTTTTGGAAAGTTTGCCCCGATAGGCTGGTGCATGCGTCACGATTAGTGCTCGAGGTGGCTGCTGGACTGCTGGACGCACCCTCGGCGCGCGTGTTCGCCTGCGGGGGTCAGTCGCTCTCCACTCCCTCTCTGGACGGGCGCGGACAGGCGGGCGCTGCCGGCGCCGTGCTCCTTGCTGGCTGGATAAATATCGAGTCGTGCCTCGCGCGAGAGGTGCGAGAGCTCGCCGCGACGGCATAGGCGCACCTCTAACTCCCCCATCCGGGGGGCCCTCCAGGCGGCGTCGGGCTTACAGCGCGGTAGCGTTAGTGTTCGCCTCCCGCGCAGCTTGGCACGGGGCAACACCACCGGGGGAACCCCCCCACGCCGCCGCCGCCGCCGGGCCACGCCTCGGGAACGAGGCCAAACGCACACATTTATCACGCGCGCTGCTATCCGCGAGCTTCACCTAGAGCACGGCACGGCACGACCTGGACGCGGGACGGGAGGGGTGCCCGCCCGTCCGCCTCGTGTCGCCAGGCCCGGGGGCGCACTGACCTAGGCTGTCAGGAGCACAAGGGGGACATGGACAGGGGGGGCGGGGGGGGAGGTCAACTCTCTCGATGCATTAAGGGCCCCCTGCTCCATCGACGCGCACCGATTTCTCATAGCATACCCTCTTTAGATAAAAACAAAAAGAGGCCGATGGAAAGGTAACGGTATGCAGGAGCTGCAGGAGGTAACGTGGGGCGAGAGGCGCGCGCTCGTCGCCGAGGTGTCTGCCCGCCTTGTGCGCCCGAGCCCCTGGCGCGGCGGGGGGCGCGAGCTTGGGTGTAGGTTGTGTATATCTACCGTCTGGATCTGCCCTGCCCGCCCTGCCCCCTCTGCGCCCCCCCCCCCTTTTCACCCTTTTATTCTCCGTTTTCCTTTCTTTGCCGGTGCTCCAAATATTCCTCGTTAGCGGCCCGCCCAGTTTATTGAACCCTTTCGCCGACTGGGCTGAGCCGGACTGTGAGGAGGGACATGGAGTACCGGAGGAGTGGGCTTTTTTTTGAGGCGGCGCGGCTGGCGCAGTGGGAACGGGCGGCGCGGTGCGGTGTGGTGGGAAGATGCACCTGCTCGCCTCCCAGCATTGTCTGTCTCTGTCGCACTCGTTATCACCTGTGCGTGCGTGAGCCGCACCGGCCCGGCGGGAGGGAGAGGGGCGGCGGTCTGGATCCGCCCCTTGCCCCGCTCACATGGAAAGCGTCGCGTGTTTCGGTCCTTCCCTCCCTCCCTCCCTGGAGGCTCCGGGCGAGGCATCTTGGGCGCACGCAGGACTCGCCTCCTGGGCCGTGCTGGGCTGGGTTTCGGATGACGTTTGACTTTTCGAGTACCCGGGCCCTGCTGTACCGTGGCACGTCCTTCGTCCTTGCCCCCCTCCCCGTTCTCTCCCGTCGGCCCGCCCGCTGGCGTCCAGGATAGGAAGTGCGCTTCTGTATATGGCCGGCTGGTCTCGACGGGTCTCGGTGGGGCGGCGGGAGGCCTGCTCCAGCGGCCCGCGGCGGCCTGGAGTGCCCCGGGCCGCTGGAGACCAGTTCAGTCGAACGGCGCCGCGTTGACATGGAGACGTCATTGGTCGCGACCACGACGCCCGAGCTGCTAGCGGGCTTCCAACAGGTTGATATCATCGGCGCCCTGCAGCGGGCCCTGTGGCGTCCTGCGCCGCGGGCGGCCCTCCTTTGCCCCTGGCCTGGTCACGCTGCTGGACTCGGTTCCCCCTCCGCGAAATCTGTGCCGTTTTTGTCGTTCTTTTTGCTCGGCGGCGGCGGCTCTGCCTGCGCAGCTCGGATAAGCGAGCGCTAATGGGCAGGACTGCTATGTCCCGCGGATCGGTGTCGGTCGCTATCGGCTGCCTCGGCACGACCCGACCTGACCTCACCCGACCCGAGCCGGGCTGACCTGCGGCCTGGACGCGATACACTCGCTGTGAACCCGTTGATTGATTTTTGCGTCCGTTCCTCTGCAGATTGACAAGAATGGCGACGGGTCGATCGACATGTCGGAGCTCAAGGCGGCCCTGGACAGCTGCGGGTTCAAGCTGCCCAGCTGGAAGGTGCGACAGATGATCGACGACTACCACAACAAGAGAAACTTCGAGACCAAGGGGCGCCTCACCTTCGAAGAGTTTGAGCGGGTGAGTGCTTAGCGGTGAGATTGAAAGTTTGGCGAGAGTTTGTGCCAGTGCAGTTTGTTTGCTCGTGTGTGAAACTTCCTCGGCCTTTTAAATTCTTTCCTCGCCACTTTTTCTGTTGGAATTCATAACGCTGACCTTTTGGCCTGTCCCTCCGCTTGCAGCTGTGCGCCGACCTCAAGGCCAATGAGGTGGCTAGCTCCTTCAAGCAGGTCGTCTCCAAGAAGGAGAACCTGGAGACGCTGGGAGGCATGTCGGAGGCGTCGAGCGAGGGCACGACCCACTCGGTGCGGCTGGAGGAACAGCTTGCCTTCTCCGACTGGATCAACTCCAACCTGTGCCACGACCCGGACCTGAAGCACCTCCTGCCTATCGACGCTGAGGGGAAGGCCCTGTACGACCGTGTGAAGGACGGCATCCTGCTGTGGTGAGTAGTTGGCCGAGCCTTGCACATGTCACACTAAGTGTCAAAGGACAATTTTGTCCCAGGAAATAATGAAAGTCAGGATGACAATTTATATCCCATGTTGGTAATCTGTTAAAGGGATAAAGGGATAATATTGCCATATCGTATTTATTGTGTCTTTTTGTACATATGATACTCAGTATGTGAAATTATGTTTTTTGGAACTAGAAATGCTTAGTTATGTTTCATTTTTGCAGCAAAGTTATTAACCTTTCGTGCCCCGATACCATTGACGAGAGAGCCATCAACAAGAAGAATCTGACTCTTTACACAAAACATGAAAACTTGACCCTGGCCTGGAGATCATCTCAAGCTATTGGTTGCAACATTGTTAATATTGATGCCCTTGATCTTGCCAAGGGGAAGCCCCATCTTGTTCTTGGATTGTTGTGGCAAATTATTAGGGTGAGAATCAGTTTTAATTTGTTTAACCATCAGTTTGTTGCAATCCATTATTAATTTTCTTTTTGTATTACAGATAGGGTTGTTTAATCAGATTACCCTTGAGAACTGCCCTGGTTTGACCAATCTGCTCATGAATGATGAACGGGTTGAGGACCTCATGAAAATGTCACCTGAAGCCATCTTGCTTCGTTGGGTTAATCATCACCTGGAGAGAGCAGGCACACCAAGAAGAGCTAATAACTTTACTTCCGACATCACCGACTCTGAAGTTTATTCTCTTCTGATGAAACAAATTGCTCCCCAAGATGCTGATGTAACAATGGAGGCATTGATGGTAAGATTTTTTCATTCTTCATTTGTATTGTATGCAGAATGTGTTACCAGTGCTGTGTGGCTCATTTGTTGTTTCTGAACTCTGTTCTGTAGGAACCTGATATGATGAAGCGAGCAGAGCTAATGCTGCAACAGGCAGCTAAACTTGGCTGCCGCAGCTTTGTAACGCCTAGTGATGTTGTGAATGGTATTTATAAGCTTAATCTGGCCTTTGTTGCTAATCTCTTCAACAACCATCCTGGTTTAGACAGACCAGAAGGAGTGGAAATTGAAGGATTAGAGAACCTTGAAGAAAATCGTGAGGAGAAAAGTAAGTGACCAATCTTCAAGCTTATTTCAATTTCTGATTGAATAAATATCAGTTTACTGCAATACCTTTTCCAATTTTTACAGCATATCGTAACTGGATGAATTCAATGGGTGTCACTCCCTCTGTCAACTGGCTCTACTCTGATCTTGCAGACGGTCTAATTATCTTCCAGCTGTATGATATCATTCGGCCTGGAATTGTCAACTGGCCAAGAGTTCACAGGTATACATTAGTCTGAGCTCAGTGTTGGGTGCATTCAAGTTGTTCTTTGTTGTTTTCTAATTGTCTTAATTTAACCCCTAATTCTCCTCAGAAAATTTTCAAAGCTTCGTAAATTTATGGAAAAGCTGGAAAACTGTAATTATGCTGTGGACCTGGGTAAGCAATTGGGATTCTCACTCGTTGGAATTGCTGGACAGGATATTAATGATGGGAATGCCACTCTTACCCTAGGTATGTTAAATTTTTCTTCTTCTAAAATTTGTATATTCAAAATTTACATTTGTCACTCTTTTCACCGATTTTATGTGCTCCTTCAGCTCTTATCTGGCAGTTGATGCGTGCTTACACATTGTCCGTCTTAACACAACTGGCAAATACCGGAAGTCCAATTGTTGAAAAAGAAATTGTCACTTGGGTCAACCAAAAGCTTGCTGGTGCCCAGAAATCTACCTCCATTAAGAGCTTCCAGGTATATATTAAACTTATGAACTAGTGTCTCTTTTTCAAACTTGTGTTTGTAATTTTTTTTGTATCATTTCTTTTACCAGGATTCAGCTATCAAAGATGGCAGAGTAGTTTTAGATTTAATTGACGCCATAAAGCCCGGCACTATTAACTATGATCTCTTCAGAGATGGTGGTTCTGATGAAGTAAGTTCAAGATCCGCTTCCCATTACTTACTGAAATGTTTTTTGTTTTTGTAAACTTTCGTTCCATGTCTAACATTTCTGAATTCACTTTTTCAGGATAATCTAGCAAATGCCAAATACGCTATTTCTATGGCCAGAAGAACAGGAGCTCGCGTATATTCTCTTCCAGAAGACATTGCTGAAGTGAAACCAAAAATGGTTATGACTCTGTTTGCATGTCTTATGGCCATGGATTACATTCCTAACATGGATTCTAAACTAACTCAGTAAAATTATGAGCTATTATGCTGCACAGATCAGTGCTATTTTAAGTGCCACCTGCCTCATTCATCTGTTTGGGAGTATTTTCCAGCAGGGCAGTTCATTGTTTTCATTATAATGCACTTGTTTTCATTTCTTACCGTCACTGTCAAAACCATTATGGTTGACCTGTATCATTAAATTAATAGGTATTATCTTAAGTGGTATACTTACTGTAGGTATAGACGCATTGCTATAGTATAGCATTAGTAGAATCAGTGACACTCCAGTTTCCTGGGTTTAAAATGAAACTAAAGGTTAAATTCCTTTAGCGTAGTGCAATATATAACATTATTCCAGCCATGAATGTTATAACCAATTGTTCTGTCTCTTTTTGATTTCCTACCATTGGCAGTCTTACTTCAAATGTTTGAAAAATGTTATTTCTTGTTGCA